AATTATTATTATTATAAATGTCACTCGATGTCCGTTTACCACCAAATGTAACTCAAAAGTAGAAAATTCGGCGTTGTACTTTCACGCACCCCATCGATGTTTAGTTTACGTTTGGCGGTGGTGACGGCTTCGACGAGCTTGTAATCGGGATTTCGTAACTTCCGGATGATATCGATTCCCCGTCCGGATTATGCGTGACGACGTTATCGTCATTGCTATACGTCAATGTGCTCGTTCAAAACCATCGCGAAAACAAAACATAAAATTATATTATTATAATAATATATAGAAAATATTACAAGGTGTACCTTAACCAGCTTCGCGACGAGACGCAAACGATTTATCCACTGGTGAGATGAAAAAAATTCCCAGCACATAAAACCCACAGCTATTCTCGCTCGTCATTCTTGATATCGTTGTAATAATTCAAAAGACGAACGATTTGCAAGGGTGTGGCGGAATAACAATGCGACAGCGGGGCCCGCGCGAACTTAATGAATCCGTCGGGGCGTTTTCGATGGAATCCCACAGCGGCGGTGGCGAAATTCTATATTGTACACATTATAATATTATATTATTATAATATGTACGCTCGTTTCGCGTTGTTGTTGTTATCATTATTATTATTGGGATTAGTATTATTGTAAGTAGTGCAGTGCAGGTATTATGCGGTGGTGTAGGTGTATAATAATAATGTGTGCGTGGGATCGGGTTCTGGTTTTTTTGTTTTGTTTTATTTCACCGTTTTCATTCGCCACCCTCGGTCCTCATAAAATATTACTATCGCCCGCGTCCCCACCCGTTTTCCTTGTGTATATAATGTAATAATATATATGTATGTGTTGTTTATGAAAAACCGGAAAATTTTCGAAAAAAAAAACAAAACTAGCGAGCTCGTAGTATCCCCGCCGCCGCACGCACACCACGTCAGCTCCACCACTATACCACACCACTATGATCGCGGTCTGCGGTGGTAGTGTAACGGGACATGATAAATCGCACGCCTCCGGTCACGCTATACCATACATACATTATAATACATACATATTATATACATTTATATACGCTTTCCTCCCGTCACCTCCAACCACTACCTCCACCCCTAGTGTACGAGTTCGAGGGTAGTACCTCCGGCGTGTGAGCGTATATACCTGTACACATGCGCCTCGTCGTCGTCATCGTTGTCGTGTAATAGGTGTGCCGAAATTTAAATATACACTAAGCGAGCACACACACACACACACGTTTATATTGTATTGTAATATATTATTATTATTATTATTATTATACGGTGAGTGACCGTTATATTCATCATCGTATGTAGTACGTATTATAGTCGTAGTCGGCGCACTCTCCTTCGCCACGTCCGAAGTGATTGCGTGCGACCAATCGCAGCGGCAGCGGCCTCGTACCTATACGATAATATATCGTAATATTATAATCCAATATAATAGTGTGTATATTATATTTTAATATTATGTAAGTATATACCGTTGGCGGTCGACCGAGCGTGCAAATACGCGTTTGTTTGGCCTGGCGACTTTTTAACGATTAAGACATTATGCGGGCGTGTCCAACCCTACACACACACACACACACACACGCTCACACACACGTTCGCGGGTATATATAATATAATAATATAATATATGACCGCTTGCCGTGAGCGATCTATCTTGCTTGATTACCGTTTAATTTAACAGCGCGCGCACGGATAAAAACCAACCCCGTTACACGCTCGCGTCCAGGTATACTACCCCAACTACCTACCCCAAGGCTGACCCGGAGTCATCGGGAAAAGGTTAAGTATATAACAACAACGCGGCGAGATAAGGTCTCTCTCTCTCTCTCTCTCTCTCTCTCTCTCTCACTCACTCTCCACTCTCTCTGCGTTTGGTGATTATCGTATAAATTGCGCCCGAATCGCGTTTCACGATTATTGCGTAAAAGCCGCCGGAATTATAATGGGTATTAGAGGTGGGTGGGTAAGTACTCGCCGAGGCCAATCTACATACGACACGCGTTAATTTATTTTATACCTAAACATATTATACTGCATTATTTTATTATTATTATTCTGTGTACAACATATTATAATAATGTTGTATATAGTACAACTCTATTATATGTAAAAAAATTATAGGTAAAAAAATAAATGCATAAACATTAACGATCGGCCGATGACTGCTTTATCGTGTGAAAATGAGTCGAGAACTAAAAAGAAAAGAAAACTGTTTTTTCGTTTAAATGGACGGATGCGGTCTTATCATTGCAGTATGATGACGTGTGGTGGATGGCCGGAAAGTGTGCCTCTGGTGTAGTCGACAACAACTATGACTTTCGACATAAACCTGAAAGGGTCTGTTTAAGATTCGGCCGGGCTTGTCTAGCTGCAGCTCAGACTTCAAGTAATTTTCCTTTTTTCGATTGGATTTGTCACTTCGACCCTTTCGCCGCAGCACCTGCCGTTTCCTATTTTTCGAATGAATTGATTTTCTCGACTTATATATATATTTCGGTCCAATCTTTATATCACGACTCGCGGACCGTCTCAACGAATTCGAACTGCTGAAAAGTTTTCCGGTACGAATGAAAAATAATATGTAGATGGCCAAAAGTGTACAAACCGTCACACGAGTATAAATTATTCAATTCAATGAAAATATAAGCTCCAATTTTTTTAATTAGCTATCATTCTATTGAAAAAATGTTAGTCAGCTAAAAGATTAACTATGATTTTTTTTAAATGTACTTTTTTAAACGGTTTTATTACTTATAATATTGTAAATACGAAAGAAATAAATTCAAAATAAATGTTTTTTAAAAATTGTAGTTATTGGCGACTGGTAAGTGGTTCTCGTTTTTTTTCTCGTTAATCTATTTTTCCTGTACAATTATCAAATTTCGACCTACAATTAAAAATAAACTATTCATTTAGCTTTTCGGTTAATCATTTTAACATAATATAAATGAATGTTTTTAGTTTTTAATTCTGTGTTTGAGTATTACGGTGGTTGAATAATTGAAATTGATTGATGTTAAATAAAAATGTATTTAATTAATATTTTTAAAAAGTTAATCAGTAATGCCGGGTTTCATAAAAGAAAAAATGATTACCTAATATTTTAATGACTTACTAAAATGCAATGAAGTATTTAAAAATGATTCCTAAATCAACCAGGTAGAACAATTATAGTAGGTACATCAACACTGCAATGAAATGTAATTTAGTAAAATATAATAAAGGTTCTATACTTTTTACTAATGAATAATAATAATGATAGTTTAATGTACCTATATAAATCTTTTGAAGTTAATTATTTAAACATTAATTTTTAACCGTTTTTAATAATTATTACGACACATGGATACAGGTGTATATTCTAGTTAGTAACAAAAGTTAACCAAGACTTAACGATGAATAATTATTAGCTGACATATCAGATTATATAACATTAATTTAAACAAATCTTATTATTCTCGAGACTACACAAAATAGACACAAAAATAACATCTAAATGGCTGATACACATTTGTTGTTAAAAAGCATTTAAAGTACAAAACAGTCTCTTGAGAACTGCAATAGTTATCGTTTAGGTAAAAGCTTCTATAATATACCAGTGGAAAAAGTTCATCGCCTTGACAAAACAAATGTTATTTGAAAACCTAGTTTTAGTTCGTCGGAAATGTATTGTATTTCAATATATTCTTCGTCGTTTCTTACTGTTTTCAATAATAATCGCCCGAGAAAAGAAGATCGTTTTTTTTCTTTTTTACCATATTTTTCACTGTTATCAAATTCAAATGAGGTTCTCTTAAATATATATATATATATCAACATTTTTGACTCGTATATAGAATGTAAAATTCTCTATGTATATTAGATCGAATTCAAATCGGCCAGACCTCATATTCGAAAACTTCTAGCCAGCAGTCGCAAATGAGGAAACCATTTTTCTAGTTGGCAATGGGACATTAAATTTACCATGTCATAATATTATTATTATTATTATTTATCTATCAAAATACGGTTAGAGAAGTAGTAAACACATGAAGAATTTAAATATTGGCAATGTAATAAGTATATAGCTTTGAACAAAAACGGTTTTAGTCATCTATCCTAAATGCGTATTCCGTATTATTATATTATTTTATTACTATTTAATCTTTTGATTCTCTATAATATGGTACTTAGCTTTTCGCCGTCTTAAGATTGGAGTGTTTTTGACGCACATATATAATTGAATAACATGAGGGCGTGACGCATATACAGAGTGATTCACCAAGTATGTTCACTGCCATTTATTCGATTAGTAATGAGTTTATTCAAATAAACTCGAATTTTTTGAATTTTTAAGTACACTCAAGGATATGTAGATGCTTATAACATATAAATTGAAATAATTCCTACTAGTATTTTATTAAACATTAATACTAAGGATAATATTTCATTATAATAAGCTTAGATGATTATTTGAAAATTATATAGTAATTTATATTATATATTCAGTTATATTAAAATTTTGCAATTTGTAAGAATTGTTCGAGTAAGTATATATTATGCATCTTGTTAAGTACTAGACTGAAATAAATCACTTATTTTTTAAAATTCCATTTAAATCTATTATTATTTAATATTATACTCAATACATATTGTTAAATAACTCAGATGTCACTCTTTTAAATTTCGGTTTCGATATGCTTCAACATGCTAAACATTTATTATTTAGTTGACAACTCGCAGTCACCTTAAGATTAGAATTTTATCAAATACACTTATAAAAGAATGCTGAGCATACCATTGGCGAATGAAGCTAACCTGTATACCTATAGTATATTGGTATATTATATACCTACATATGTCATATTATATCATATTAACAATAATACATGTATAAAAATTTTAAATTTAAATTCACATGAAAAGATTCTGTTTTATCTTTCGATGGCAAACGTTTTGACATTAAAAACTAATAATTATGTTTTTATTTTATTTTTAGATCTGTTTCAAGAACTGTGGATGAAACATTTGTGAAGTAAGTTTATGCAATACAAGAATAAATTAGTAATTAAGCAATTACGCATGGAAAAAATATTTTATAATATCGATTAAAATTAAAAATATCGTTTAACTACGAGATAGTTGAAATAGGCAATAGGCGTGATCGGATTTCATAATATGATATTAAAAATGGCATACTATATAACAAAAATGGAAATATTCATTATGCAATATGAGTATAATATTGTTTAAGTATGCGTGTAACGTATAGGTTTATTTTTATCGAGCCTTTGAAAATAAGTAGGTGTATTTACGTATTACAACGGAGATTTTTCCACAGCTTTTTTTCTGTTTACGTTATATTTCGCTGATGTATTAAAATATAATATAAATACCACATACAAAGTCTCGCATATGACATAAAAATTATAATATTATTTGCATTTGATTTGAATCAAAACATATCCACTGGGTCAGTTAAATTTATTTTAAAATCATGCCTACTCTCGCATATTAACAATAATAAGATGCACAGGGCATCGAAATACTGTATTAGTGTAATGTCTACTATTTTTTAAATACCTACCAAATTTGACGAGATCGTGGATTATTAACCTAACCTAACCTAACCTAACACCGTTTCTGCATCGAGGGCAAAGCATATAATGTATAGGTACTGACGAGTGTCTCGTTTTATCTCACAAATTATACCGGGCAATACCTGAACAATTATGATATTCGCATGCCCTGAGACTTTTTCCGGATGTGTTACCGAAAGCTGTGCGTACCCGTTTACTCTACTGGTACCTATTCACTTATACAACTTTGAATTGACTCGCACTCGCAGATCTGCCGCATACGCGTATTCGTTTCAAATTCGCAATAAAACTTTGATTTTTAGCAATTTGTATATTTTTTTCCGCGATTTTTATAGCTCGTGCACAGATGGTACACCGGACGAAAATGAAAACCCACCAGTATATACGAACAACGCACCGGGTGACGGTGGGTATGGATTTTTGGTTCGGCGGTTATAATATGGTGGCATAGGTGGCGGCGATGACGCCGACCCAGATTGCGCTTTGCCAAAGGATATTTTATTGCCCTCGTCCCCGGATCTGGCAAGGCGACAGATTCACAAATCATTTTTTTCCCCTTTTCGTTCCGGATCGCTGTAGCGGGATTAGATAAAAATAATATAATAAGTTATTTATCAATATTGCGTTTGGCATTTATTTATATAATATTATATTATACCTACCTACCTACCTATAGCTGCATAACTGTAATTGAATACGTGTAATTATTAGTTGATTCTAGCCACTGGTTTTATCCGTCGTAAATCATTCTTCGGTCACCACACACGATATAATATAATATCGTTGTGTGCAACGAAACAATGACTTTGTACGGCAATGTTCGGATAAAAATGTTTCCAATATGTTCTTCTCTCGGTATAGGTAGGTATTATTGGGAATATTTCAATTTACAATGCTATTGGGCAAATGTCTGGAAGAAAACAGACCTAGAGTTAACTTTATTATTGTATATTGTTTAATGATCATAAAACCCTGAAGTAAACGATGATAAGGAATTAAACGAACATAAAAACTGAACAGTACCATGGGATTACTTTGTGATAAGATTTAGGCACAGAAAAATTATTAGTAAATCTGATTCGACAAAGTCAGTCGTTGGAAGATAGTATTCAGTCATCTAAAGTTTAAACGAAAAACAGTCGAAACGTATTTACTTTTTATGACTAAAATATATCAGAGTATTTTAATATAAAAATTAAGTGTACATAAATAATTTAACGACTAAAATATATCAGCGTATCTTAATATAAAATTAAGTGTACATAAATAATTTACAATCAAACATTTCCAAGTGATGTTTTTATTGAGTTACCGATAATACAGTGCAAGAACGTATAATAAACAAAAATCATAGCTTTAAATGTACCTAACCGTTAAGTTAGTACATAGTACATACATATAAATAATACATCGTTTTTCGAACCTTTAACTTTTATTATGTTTACAATAATAACAACTATCTCAAAATAAAACAATCTAAACTTTATTTAAAAAGTAGCATCGTCTTTGTGCATAAAGATAAACATACTGTTTTGGACTCAATATTATTCTACATATTATTATATAATATTATAAAATCAATATTTTTTGAATACTAAATAGAAAAAACTATAATAGTTAGTTTCGACTTTTAAATGGAGTTTTAAATAGTAAATAGGTTCTCATAGAAAAATCACAAATTTAATTTCTAAACTTTAAATGACATTTTTGTTTTGAACCTGTAATGATGATTATTTTGAGAATTGAAACAAAATGATTTTCAAATAAAATCTATTCTAAAGTTGTGTTAAAGTAAACTTTTTTGCTATTCGACATTCATGACAGCATGCAGTCTAAAAACTATTTTATGTCGACATTCGTTTAAAAACTTATTCTATTTGTATTGGTCTTATTGAATTGTTATTATTTAATAGAAATAATAATTATGTAACCAATATATATGCAAAAGCTAAGTTTAGAAATATTATATTCACAATAGTAACTGTAGTCAGATGAAATGGTATGTCCAATTGATTTCCATATAATTATAAAGATTAGGTAGGTAATTTAAAGTTAAAAGTTTGACGTTTAATCATACCTACGTGTTGTGCAAACAACTATTTATTCGGATACCGTAACAAACAAATAAGTATACATATATTATTCTGTACCTACTACGCTGCTACTTGGGTAGGTATCTGGTCGGACCGGGATCGGCATTAAGTGTCCGGAACGGAATAGAAATGGGGCCTATTTGATGAAATAAGTCCTGGCAGGCACTCCAACGCGGGAAACTTGAGCGTGGTCTCCCAAACATATATTCTCCAACTGAATTATACCCGAGGGTTTTCTCTTCCATCAGACTCTTATTTTTTTTTTTTTCCAATTCTTTATACAACAAAAAACGGTTCGTTTAGACAATATAATATATACGCATGACCTGTGTACTAAACTCGTGCTTTCATTTATTTAGGTGAAATGTTCAACTGACGTAATACCTACGAAAAATAAAATATTAACATTACAATAATAGTATAGAACCAGTAACGTACACGTAACATACAAAATATATGACCAACCAATTGACTTATATATATTTTTACATATTTATTTTTCATTAAATTAAAATATTTTTATTAATTACTAGTATTCTATATTATAACGGCGACTAATTAAAATCTAATTCCATCCAATTATAGCTATCGACCATGATAATAATATTATTAAACTGTATAACATAATATTATGTTATTTGTGTGAGTGCAATATAATTACACTGATCGCAGTATGGCAATATCCATACAACAATAAATTATGGAAACCTAATGATCTTAAAGTTTTCAGTGAACATAATACAAGACAAAAGGCGGATGAATAGTGAAAGTGAATAAAATAATTGCGTTATAAATTTCTATGGATGAACTACGTTTGATTGTGCTAATTTCGTTCGGTAAACGATAATAGAAAATATAATAATACAGTCTTCTCGCGTTGAGCGCATACGATATTGTTAATGAGCCTTAGCCATTTTATGTATGTATAGGCATACTTCCTGATTAAGTCTGAATAATTAAATACGCTCTTATTTCAAGGGAGCCGTCGGGGAAATAACTCTAAACTCTAAACTCTCCTTATATATTTAATCTTAGGTTAACAACTAACAAGTTTATTACGAATTTAATAGCTTTATATTAGCCGACATAAACTCAATTGATTCGTTAAAAAATATCCTCGTTCTATCTCTAGGTGTTATTATTACAAAATTGGTATTTTTAGAATATAAATAAGAACACCGTGATAGAAACGAAAAAACAACATGCGTTGTGAACGAATTCATTTCCAGAGATCGTCTTGCCCGATCATAATCTGGTGTTTCTCTGTTTTCTCTGGTCTACACACGTTCTGTAAACGATGGCCATTAACGTCTTTCGAAAATATAGAACGGTCGTTGGGTGGAAGAGAAGGGTGATTGTATGTGTAAGTGCAATTGTGTGTCGAAAGTAATCGTGTATGGAAGTATAAAGCTGTATCCGCCGGAGAGAAGATTGCAAAGGATTGGGTGGGGGAAAACTAGTGGAGAAATGGTGGAGTGTGGCGCAAAACGACACACAGAGAGCTTGTGGAATCGATAAAGTCATAAAATAAGTTCAACACCACGGATGGCTGGGAGAGAGTAAGGGAAAAGAGGTAGTGAACTTCGAGGAGACGAGAGGCAGGACGGAGTTGTCCGGGAAGGGGGATAGTACCCTCGGGGGTGGTGGGGCCAGGGATAAAATCTGACCGTTACGTTCTTATCGATGGTAGAAGTGAGCGTCGGGTGGTGGTTAGTGAGGGAGGAGGTGAGATGAGAGAGATGGTGCATGAAACAAATTCGTGCGAAATCCGGCTTTTGCTACTTATTCTACTGCGCTCTTCTTCTTTCTTTCTCACTCGTATTTTCTCACTTTGTTGAATCAGTATAATGTATATATGTGAGTGTATGTGTGTGTGTGTGTGTGTGTGTGTGTAGAGAGTATGTTTTTTTGTATGTGGTAGGTCTTGCGCGCCACTGTGTCCCGATGAATTATTTGCCCCGAGAGAGTTTTCATAATAATAACAAAAACACAAAAGATCTTCTTATTCCGTGCACAGACATTGGTGTACGAATATCCTCATATCTTTAGTTTCAAGAATGAAAACGTTGATTAAAACCCATAACTTTACAGATATAGGTGACACGAAATCAAGAAATAAGAATATTGCAAACACTGTAATAATACTTTTAAAGTTAAAGACGAATCAAGTACGAACGTTGTGGTTTATTTCTCTAGATGTGAGCAGAGATATCGGATAATAATATAATAATTTAAATAAGAATGTAGAGACACGGAGGTATACCTTGAGTATATTATGTATTTACTTATAAGAAAAAAATACTAAACAAGGCATGATGCAGCTACGTCGTAAGTGTGCTCTC